TTTGGAAAATTAAAATCACACTGTTAGGTAATTATTTTGCTGCAAACCATTATATTAATCAATGATAAATTATTATTTTATTACTATGTATGAGAAAAGTCTGAAAGGACAGACACCAAATTGTTAATGTTAGTTACCTCTAAAGAGTAAAACAGAGATGGGACTGGTGAGTCTCTATTTTTCTTTTCATTACCAGCATATTTCACTTGTGCACCTTTTATAAATAAAGAAGCAGAGTGGGCAGGGAGGCAGGGGGGGAGACAGGATGGGATACCAACGCCTCCCATCAGAAAACATACGCAGTGAAATCAACTCTGGTTTTCTTATGTTGACAACAATGTAATTCTTACTCTCGAATGTTTCAGAAAAAGAATTTTACATATGAAATAATAATAGAGTAAATGAAACAAATTGTTAACAAATGGTGAATCTTCACATTTTTATAACTTTGGAATTACATATACATGTATATATAATTATTATATGTAATATATATCAAAAAGGGGAAAGTGATATTGCTATTTCAGCTAGTATTGAATCAAAAACATGCCTGTTTTTTCAAAAAAACACTCACAAAAGACAGTCTCAGGGCTCTAACATAGCTGCGTACATGCTCAATAACTTTAATTAAACGAGAATTTGCAATAAATCTTGTCAGTTGTCCTATTTCATCCTTGATGTTTTATATTACAGATGAACCAATAATGTACTCATTCCAAATTTTCCCTTTTCTTCGTCTTTGAGAAGCTATCTTCCAGGTACACTTCCTGGTTGTGGCCATCAGGTGGCAGAGTGACTCTATTGCTTAGCCATCAGATAAATGATGACAGGGCAGGTGGTCAAAAGTCCAACAGAGTCCCAAAGGTCTAGTATGACCTGAACAACATGCTTAAGCAGAACTTCTCTTACAGTTTGTGACATGGTGGCACAGCACACCCAAAACAACGACATTTAAAATATTAAGTTGTGTCTACGGCCATGCCACCCTGAACAAGCCCAATCCCGTCTGATCTCGGCAAGTAAGCAGGGTTGGGCCTGGTTAGTACTTGGATGGGAGACCACCTAGGAAGACCAGGTGCGGTAGGTATAAAAATAAATAAATAAATAAATAAAGGATTGTAAGCTGACAAGGTCCTTGCAATCTGTGAGGTCAATCAAGGGTTACCTCGCCTAAAAAAATATATAAAAATAATAAAAATTAAAAAAATATATTAAGTTGCTCATCTTCCACATTATAATAATATATGTGTATATATGCACATACACACATAAGTATTGTATATATACATCATTAAGCCCTTAAGTGCTGGCAATAATTGAATCAGAACATATAGCAATTTATGTTCCAGAGCATTATCAAAAACAGTAGGGCAATCTGCCAGCAATTAGTGGAGCCTAAGATTTGGGTATAACACACACAGAGGTAGGCAGCTTAATAAAAGCTCAGGGAAAGATACAGTCAAAGAGAGCCTTGCTAAAACCATTATCATCACAGGGTGACTGCACTCTCTGAGGAGTGATATAGGAGGCTTCACATCGTGGGGGAAATAGACAGCAATAAAATACTCCAGCCAAGTCACTGAACAAACAAATAAACAAACAACGACAAAAACAAACCCTGGGGTATGTGTCAATATTCAAGATTGCAACAATATATTACCTAAAATGTCCAGTTATTAACAAAAATTCTGAGACATGCAAAGAAACAGAAAAATGTGAACCATACACAGGGGAAAAAAGCAGACAGAAGCAGCTGCTTTTGAGAGAGCACAGATGTCAAATTTAAAGGACAAAGACTCAAGGCAGGCATTATAAATAAAGGATGATCAAAGAAATAAAGGAAACATGCTTTAAAAAGTAAAGGAAGGCATAATGACAATATCTTGCTAAATAAGGAGTATCAATAAAGAGAAATATTTTTTTAAAGAACCAAATGGACCTAATTAAGAAAATGAAAAGGAAACAGCATGGGAGAAACTTTTTTCAAATCAGATATCTGATAAGAGAATTGTATCTGGAATATATAAAGAACTCCTACAACTCAGTAATAAAAAGACAAATAACCCAATTTAAAATGGGCAAGGGATCTGAATAAACAGTTCTCCAAAGAAGAGATACAAATGACCAATATGCACATTAAATGATGTTCAACACCATTAGTCATTAAGGGAAATGCAAATCGAAACCACCACAAGATGCCACTTTACACCCACTATAATCAAAAAGATGGACAGGCGTTGGTGACGATGTGGAGAAACTGCAGTTCTCATACACTGCTGCTGGCAATGTAAAATGATGCAGCCACTTTCTCGAAAGGTTAAATATAGAGCTATGGTATTACTCAACAATTATACCCCTAGGTATATATATCTAAGAGAAATGAAAACATATGACCACACAAAAACTTGTACTGAATGCTCATAACAGTGTTATTTATATTAGCCAAAAATCTTTACTCTGATGCTGTCCGATTTATTTTTTCTCTGCACCTGGGCTTGCTTACCTTACAGAAACCTGCGCACTTGTCTCAGGATACAGATAATTCTCTAAGGCTCTAACACCATGCAAACAGACCTCGTAGAGGAAAGTGGATGTGGCCACTGAGTCTTGCAAAAAATGAAGAAGACAGGCCAAATAATGGACCAAATATTCCGGTAAGAATAGGAAAGCTAAACTCTCAGCTCTGCTTTAGGGAGAAACGGGAAACTATGAGACAGCCCTTTTTAGGGTGTGCTATGCTTACTGAGGGTGAGGGTAGTTCTCAGTTCCATGGAGAATTTGTCTTTGGTGCTCTGAGCTGGATCTCCAGGGGAGGTATCAGGGCCTGTTTCCTATCAATTATATCACCAATGGATCCAAAACACTATGAAATAAAATCTGAAATAATATAGCAGACTAATAATTTAAGAATACCACTTAAAAAGTTCATACATATTCCTTCAATACAATTTACATAATCAATGCAAGAAAGCCAACACTTTGCCAAAGAACTCTTGTTTTACATGAGTTTATTTCAACAAAGTCCCATTAGGATTTCAGGGGAAAGACGAATATAGCCATAAAACAAAACAAAAATATATGATGCTCACAACACATTTTTTTGATTGTTTCAGAGTAAAAAGTATTTGTTACAGAGAAAGAACAAGCTGGGTAGAGAAGCTAATAAAAAACTGCAGAGGAAAAATTTTAAATTCCTGAAAGTATTTCGAAACAATTTCTCCATTTTGTAATTAGAACCAGGATGATTTCACTGCTAAGGACAATTTCACTGCTGCTGTCCCTGAGATAATAATAGCTCCGTTTGCTATATGTTCACCCTACCCCATGCACTGCACTAAGCCTCTTACACACATTGCCTCATCTAATTTTCATCTGCAACTAGAGTGACTAGGATGAGTCTCAAAGTTCTTCTGAAGCCCCTACTCTGCCCTGCAGCTCTGAAGGTCTTTAACTCCTCACTGTTCTAAGAAGTACAGCAGAGCTGGGGTTTCTTCTAAGCAGATCTCCACAAAAAGAATTCAAATTTTTTCCATCTGATTACAGTGATTTTCTAGATCATTCATCTAAACAAACATATATTGTGTATTTATTGTTTTCCAGGGGCTGTTCCAGATACTTGGGCTCCAAAAATAAAAGATAGCACTCCACCTCAAGACAGTGAAGACAAAAGAAATATTCAGTCAGTAGAACAGAGAATGCTAGGGGTGCTCAAGAGTGGGGTATCAGGGAAGACTTCCTGGAAGAGGTGACGTTTGAGCTGAATTTTAAAGGCCGACTAGAAGTTAGAGAAGAAGGGGGAAAGGAATGCTGGGTATAAGAACAGCATGTGCAAAGGCATAGAGATAGGAGGGCATGGCCTACTCAGGGAATAACAAGCAGTTGATCACTACTAAAAGGTACAGTGCAAGGGTAAAGAGAGGTGAGGAGGCTGGCAGGGTTTCCATCCCCAAGGATCATAATAGGGGGGCTGAAGTTCACTCAGAAGAGAATAGAAAACCACAGAGGAGTGATAAACCAGGCCTCTATTCAATCTATGGAGTCCTGGGCTATTAGACTGATGTTCATCCAGCAGACCCGAATACACATGTGCAGCATGCAAGGCCCTTCTGGTGTTGCCTGCACAAATACCTTCACATTATAGTTCTCTTCTCCAAAGAGGCCTTGAATGCTGTGAGCACCTTTCTTCCACCCTTTGCAGACTCTCAACTTCACCTCAGGCTGATTCAAATTGCTTATGAACTCCACAGCTCCTAGGTAGACTTGTACTTGACTCTGAGTAGCAGCAGAGGGCAGAAGAGGCCCATAAATACTTTAGGGACTGCTGGCATTACTAACAAGCTCCCAGGTGACACAGATGCTGCGGGTCCAGGGTCCACCAAGCACAATTTAAGTAGCAAGGACTAGAATAGTACTTTTTATACCAGTTGAAGTAAAAGAGCTCTTTTTTAAATTTCCAATCATCATGGACCAATACTTTCAGAAAATAAAATAAAAATATAGTTAATATTGTTGTAATAACTGTGTATGGTGCCAGATGGGTACTAGATTTATTGTGATGATCACTTCGTAAGGTATATAAATGTCTAATCACTATGCTGTATGCCTGAAACTAATACAATACTGTATGTCAACCACAATTGAAAAATAGTTTAATAAAAAATGAATTACAAAATAAATATATTTAAAAAAAGACATGCAAAATATGCCCCAACTTTGTATTATTGGAGTCAATAAACATAGTCTTACCCCGCCAAATGACACAGATCAGCTGAACTGTCCCATGGTTTCCTTCCATGCACACAACTCCAACTGCAGACACACACGCAATCGTGGCGTGCTCATTACCAGGTCTAACTCCCACTGCTTGATTTATGGGCAAAGGAAGGCGTGTATGAGAACAATGCAAAGAATTTGCTTTGGTCTTCATGAACATATTCCCCACTAAAATGAAGTTTACTCCAGCTTTTGAAGAGTAGAGTCCCAAACATTTGACCACTTACCTTGCCACTCTCCCTCGAAGATCTCCCAAACCGGAGAGCTGACGCATCTCCAGAGTCTTTAAGGCAGAATTCGTTCCATAGCTGATGTTGTCCCGGGCACGGATCTGCTCTTGAAGTACCTGGTCAACACAAAAAAACCACATGGGAGTCATTTGAGAATTTACATGATGCCACAAAAGCATTTTATATTTTTGGGAAAATAAGCCTCTATACTTTCATAAAAGGCTCCTTTTTAACAGTCACCTGCTATATACAGAGAATCAGCAGCTTAGAAAGAGATCTTACCAAGTACTTTAATATACCAATAAAAATGCTGAGTCTTGTCAAATAATTCGATGGAGGTCCATCTTCAGGAAGAGGCGAAGCCCGGACCAGGACCCTGGACTCTTAGTATGTTGTTCAGCACTCTGTCCACCAATCAGGCCATTTTTTGACAGTCCTTGTTTTAGATGAACAATCTCTAATTTCTTAGGAAGTGATAAACCAAGAGCAAGGAGAGGAGGGGGGCATCAGACAAACAGATCCAAATTCTGGTTCTTCCTACTATGTGATCGTGAACAAATGTGTAAACTTCTCTGAGCTTCCTTGTCCTCATTTGTACCCAGAAATGGTAACCATACTCTTAAAACCACTGTAAATATTACATAAGATGACGTCTATAAAGCACTTAGCACAATGTCTAGTACACAGCAAATATAGCAAACACTAATCTTTCTAGTACTTATTTGATAATATTTAAACTGGAATGGCAGAATGGGTCTCACAGGAAAGACACAAAATGAAAGTAGAATTGCTTGACGATTAAGTGACCCAACATAAAAGCATGACCTCGTGGAGCATCCATCCTGGGACATCTTCAAAGGAATGATGGAGGTCATGAGGATATCCCTGGGGTTTACTGAGTGTGTAGTAGGAGGTGTTGACATGAGTCAAATCCACACAGGACCCCTGTGACGGAGGCACTCAGGATTCCCATGTTACCAACCGGGAAGTGAGGCGCAAATAGCTGAAATGATATGTCCATTTCTCATAGACTCAGAGAGTCAGAGGGACTTTTTTCGCCAGCCTTGGGACAGGTGAGGGTCTAACTCACACACTTTCTTTCTTTCACTTTTTTTTTAATGCCTACAGCACCTGGTCTTCCTAGGTGGTCTCCCATCCAAGTACCAACCAGGCCCGACCCTGCTTAGCTTCCGAGATCAGACAAGATTGGGCATGTTCAGGGTGGCATGGCTGTACACTCTTTTTTTTTTGTAATTTTAAAAGATGAGTACTAAGTTCCTTTATTTTTATTATTTCTTCCTTAATAATGAAGTTTTTTTTTCTAGTACAATATTTTCTGTGTCCATAGGTTGGGTATGAAGTGTTTTCTTTTTTATTGTTTTAATTTCAATTTTGAATTCCTCGTTGATGTAAGAATTACTTAGAATTGCATTTCTTCATCTTCAAGTGGTTGTGCTTTTATCATTTTTATTATTTATTTCTAATTGTATTGAATTAGGATTAAAAATGTGTTCTGTAACATATTTAATGTTTTGAATGTATTAAGTTTGCCTTGTGGCATATGATTGATTTTTTAAAATGTTGCATGCAAAAAACTATTCAAGGAACAAAAGACTCAAAAGTATCTATTAGATTGAGTTTGCTGATTCTATTCATTTTTCCTAGATCTTATTTATTTTTGTCTACTGGATCTCTCCAGTTGTGAAAGAGGTATTATGAAGTCTCCTACTATAAAATATTTTCATCAAGTTCTCACATTTTTAATATATAATTTAGCTGCCATTTTATTTGGCACATATAGATTTATGATAAGAGGCCATAACCATTATATAATAACTTTCTTTATCCGATTTAGTGCTTTTAACATTAAGTTTCACCTTACCTAATACTAAGATTGCTAATAGGCTTTATAAATAATAAAGCAAATACTTGCTTGATGTAACTGTACACCAGGCTCTGTTCTAAGTGCTTTAGGCATGTTAACTTATTTAATCTTTGTAACACCCCAGGAAGGAGGTAATATTATCATCCCCATTTGCCAGGTGGTGGAATCTCTAAGCAGTTAAGTAACTGGCCCAAAGCCGCAGTCAAAAAGTAGCTGAGCTGGGATTTGAACCCGGGAGTCTGGCTCCACAAACTGTACTCTCAATCATGACACTACGCTGCTTTGTCTGTTTCCTTTCGTACCTTCATCTCACTTTATATTCACAATTTATGTTGCTTTTCATTATTGTTTCTTGTCTCCTTTTCCTTATTTTGACTGGTTTAATCAGGTGACCATTGATTGCCTTTCCTCCCCCAGCTAACTGGAGAATGTTCCTGGACACCGCTATTCCACAGATGGATGGTTACCCCACTTTCCCCAGTGTTCACAATCACACACACCATCTATCCCAGGCTCTGTGCTGGCACAGCTCCTCCTTCTCAGCATGAGACACTCAGACCACCTTCACACCCACCCTCCCTTCAAGCCCAAATTACTTATTTGAATGAATTTTATTTTTCTCCCCTCAAAACCCTACACCACAGACTTTGCTAAAATAACTCCATACCTCTGGTTGGGCTGTAATTAGAATTCTGGCTATAGAATGTCTCTTCTATTTCAACACATATTTTTTCTTTTTTAGCACTTCTGTGACCTAGTCTCAGGCACTTCTCAACATCCATTTACATGAAATGACATAGGTCTTTTCTTAAGGACCACTGATTGTCTTTGTGCTTCTCCTTTTCATTTCTCCATCTTAGGGTGTCTGTGCAAATTCATTGGGTTTGGTTAGAGTCTTTTCCCTAGCATTTTCTTGGATGAACAGCTCTTTGAATCCCTGCCATGTCAATAATCATCCTTCCTTCATCCCGAAGGGTGAGCGATCAATTGAAAAGGTACAGAATTCTTGACTTAAAGAAGTGAAGACTGATAGATTGATAGGAAATCTGATGCGTCTTCCTTTATAAGTACTTTGGCTCCTTATACCTAGAAGCTTGTAAGATTTTTTTCTTCATCTTTGGAGTTCAAGAATTTTATTAGAATATACCTAAGTGTACCTCTTTTTTAAAAAAAATGAATTCTATCTGGCACTCCGTGAATTTTTCAATCTGCGGTCTCAAATTTTTTTTCAAGTCAGGTAAATTTTCTTCTTTTGTGTAACTACTGTTTCTTCTCCATCTGTTTCTTTGTCTCCTTTTAGAATTCCTATTATTCATATGCTGGTGTCCTAGATCTGTCCTCCAAGTCTTGTATATTTTTCCTCACAGTTTTTATTCTCTCTCTGTATCTGGCTCTGCTATTTCATCATTTTTTCTACTCTGCCTTGTAGGCAACTAATTCAATTCATAAAAGGAGCCATCCTTGTCTCTAGTTCATCTACTGAGTTAAAAATTTAAGTTCACAGAAGAAATTCTATGTTGTACCTGGATCTCCTCAAGTGCCTTGTCTTCTTAGTCAGCTGGGGTTGCTATAATAAAATACCAGACTGAGTGGTTTATAAACAACAAACACTTATTTCTAGCAGTTCTGAAGGCTGGGAAGTCAGATCAGGGTGCCATCATGGTTGCAAGCCCTCTTCCTGGCTTGCAGACAGCTGCCTTCTTGCTGTGTCCTCACAGAGCAGAAAAAGGAAGTTCTGGTCTCTCTTCTTCTCCTTATAAGAGCACTAATCTCACCATGGAGCCCCACCTTCAGGACTTCCTCTAAACCTAATTGCTGTCTAAAGCTTCACTTCCAAATATCGTCATATTGCTGTCTAATTGCTGTCTAAAGCTTCACTTCCAAATATCGTCATATTGGGTGTTAGGGGCTTCAACGTATGAATTTGGGGAGACCACCAAATACCATCACATTGGGGGTTAGGGATTTCAACATATGAATTGGAGGAGGGACGCAAACATTCAGTCCATAACATGCCCTAATTATTTTTCATTCAAAGTCAACCTGTTTCCTGTTTCATTTGGGCTGTTCTAAGGACTGTGTTTATTCTTCCGCTCTCTGGCTGCTAGGTCCCCTTAGGTGTGACATTTCTTTTTGTTCTCTGCTCATTGTAACGAGATTAAATAAGTGGTCCTGGCTGTAGTGGAAGGAGCTTATGAGCTAGAAGTGCAGCCCGTGAGAGTACATGGCCTGTGTCCAGGTGAGGTGCCAGGAGGAAGCCTCTCTACCAGCCCCTCTAGCCTGGAGTCGACGGGGACACAACCCGCCTCAACATCCCTTCCTTACTTCAGTGAGGACAAGAGATTGGCTCAGCCACACAGTGCGAGGCAGTGACACTGTCCTTCCCTCTCTGCCTCCTGTACCACAGTGTCTGGGATCTCACTTCCAGGCTCTCCCAGGCTAGGTCTCTGCTGGCTCTCCAGGCCTTCCTGCCTGCCTAGCCCAGCTGTTCAGGAAGGGGACACTGGAAATGGGAGCAGCGGAGGCAGGCATACTAAACGACCACCTTCCCATTACCTCCTGCATCTATCTAGGGGTTTCTTAAGGATACATTCACATGTATCTACTTATACTATTTATTTCTAGAAATTTGATGATTTCTGATATACTGACAATGTGTAGTCCAAACTGCAAATGAACGGGAAAGATGTATTAGACAATATAATTATGTTTGCATAAATTGCTTTTGTCCTCCCTTTTATTAGCTCTTTTTTAAGTATAATATACACGTAGAAAAGTGCACTTACATTATTTAGAATTTTCAAACTTTCTGGTAAAAAGTAAGACTTAAGAATGTGAAGATTCTGTGTTTTCCTTATTGGAAATCTGGTTGGAGCCAGTATATTTGGAGTGACAGTGACAGAAAAAAAAAAAAAAAATTACTTCACTGAAGGGAATTTGGAACTGCTAGACCTATCTGTTATTTGCTATAGTTTCCAGTTTTTCTGAATGAACCTGCTCTATTAAGAAGAATGCAAACCAGTTACAATCACCTGTGAATGGAAAAAAAATGTTAGTCATCTCAACACATTCTTGCAAGAAAACTTCAGATCTGACTAATCTGGTTCTGACACTCTCCCACTGATGAAAAGGCGCTGGTGTGTGCTTTCTCTTTTAATAGGAAGTAACATTCATTAATTATAGTTAATAGAAAGTAAGACATATTTTTTTGTATGTAACGCTTCAAACCTT